TGCACTTTACTTTTGTTTTCAATAAATCTGTGATTGTATCCCAAGACTGTGTTTCATTCATTTATTATTATTGTAGCTGGGGTTTGGGTATCGATTGTTTGTCTGGTCTCGGAGTCTGCTGTAGTCCGGACCCGAGTCCGGACTAGCCTAGCTTAGATGTCAGTCTCCTCGGTGCAATAGAATTCAGAGTATCCTTTATTATTTTTTATTAAATTTAAATAAGTACAGAGTATGAACTAATCCTACCCTCATACATTCATAAATACTTACTTATTTACATTCCTTAATTCACGTATGCACATTTTGACTTAAAATGCAAATTGGGGTCAAAATGTGTGCAAATGTTGTGCAAATTCATAACATACAATGATTCCCATAGTTTCACCAAGTGTTGTACAATTAGAATTTATTTATGTATTTACAAATACATTTATGTTTATATTTTTTACGAATGCATTTCTGTCTCTATAGTTACCACGTTCTAGATCTAAAACAAATTCTACAATTCTACAAAGTGTTACTAGGTTACCATGGTTGTTATGGAAATAGAATTCTATTACATCATCTTAGAATTCGTCCATTTTACATGTGCTAGGGTTTGTCTCAAGTCCAATAACAGAAAACGGAGTCATTTTTGCAAAGGTATTATTGCAGAGATCAACTCAGCGACTTACGAATCCAAGTAACATGGAAAAGCCCATTGAAGTCCACAAGACTGACCTGGAGATTCTGCATGAACTGGCAGAACTCCATGGGAAACTTGTACTTTTTAATGAAATGGGAGAGGAGGGTCCAGCACATAAGCCCACTTTCCAGATAGAAGTGCGAGTGGGAGACTTGGTCGGCTTCGGTTCCGGCCCCACCAAGAAAAAGGCGCGGTTACACGCAGCTAAAGACGTTGTGAAGGCGTTGTCCAAGCTCCCACCGCCTCAGGGAAAAACTCCATATTGGTGCAAACCCCACGCGGACCTTATGGACCCTGAAGAGCGCAAGTACTTCTTCCACAATAAAAACCCGATCACCGCGCTCACAGAAGTTCTCATGATCAGGAAACAACCCGCGGCGAGTTTTAAGGTTGTCAACCTTGAACATACCCATGACGCGTATTATACGGTTGTGTATTGTATGGAGGTGACAGCTGGGAACTTGTCTTGTCAAGCTTTCGCCCCCAACAAGAAAGAGGCCAAGGTCATGGCGGCAGAGAGAATGTTGGAGATGATGGGATTCAAAGATCAGCTCCAGATGCAGAATCCACCGATGCAGCCGTATGAGAGCCAGATTTTCCAACAGAAAGTCTATGAAGAGCAAGCAAAACAGCTGCGACAGCACCAAAAGGCTGTAAAGGCTCTGCAACGTCTCAAAGCTACAGAAGACACGGTAGAGGAACTCAGACCAGAAGAGACGGTAGAAGAACTCATACCAGAAGAGAAGTCAGAGCCACTCGTACCAGAAGAGACGGTAGCGGAACTCAAACCAGAAGAGACGGTAGAGGAACTCAGACCAGAAGAGAAGTCAAAGGACCTCAGACCAGAAGAGACAGTAGAGGAACTAATACCAGAAGAGACGGTAGAGCCACTCATACCAGAAGAGACGGTAGAGGCACTAATACCAGAAGAGACGGTAGAGGCACTCATACCAGAAGAGACGGTAGAGGACCTCAGACCAGAAGAGACGGTAGAGTCACACAGACCAGAAGAGACGGTAGAGAAACTCATACCAAAAGAGACGGTAGAGGCACTCATACCAGAAGAGACGTCAGAGGCATTCGTACCAGAAGAGTCGGTAGAGGAACTCAAACCAGAAGAGGTGGTAGAGCAACTCAGACCAGAAGAGACAGTAGAGGAACTTATACCAGAAGAGACGGTAGAGGGACCCATACCAGAAGAGACGGAAGAGGAACTCATACCAGAAGAGACGGTAGAGGAACTACTCATACCAGAAGACAGCCAACTGGAAGTCTTACCGTCGGAGATCCAAGAGGCAGCCGTAACGAAGCAGGCCTCAGCTGAAGAGACTGTGGATATTTCTCTGGAGGAAGAAACACAGTCCATCGCAAAAGGCACCAGATCTGCCCATCTCATGGCTGCTGCGATGATAAAGAAGTTAGTTCAAAAAGCCCACATGGTTCCTGACACTGAGCAGCAGATCCATCTTGTCCAAATGCTTAGAAAAGTGGAGACTGGGGTTCGGATCCCAGAGGACAGTCAGCTCACAGACAAAGACCTCAAAGCCATCGGGAAAGCGGCCGCCAAAAGCTTACTGCAGGAGTGTGGTTCGGTGTCTGCTCTAAGCGACAATAGTTTCACTGAGGAAACTATGAAACTGAACCTGAACCTCCAACTCAGGTATTATTTGGCCCATGGTCCTCAGACTAGGCCAACGTGCTTCTTTGCAAGGGTTTGGAAGGTCTTCAGAAGAAACCGGATCAGCTCAGGACCTCTGAGCACCTATTTGTCATCTCCCATCTACTAATCAAAACCAGTAGAACTTAGATATGACATTATCTAAGACTGGTTGGTAGGTGTGGTTTTTTTATTTGCTTTTATTTATTTATTTATTTAATATTATTTTGTCTTTTGTCAACTGTATTTGACATGAGTTTGGACTGCAACTGGGGAAAATATCCATGAGATTAATTTGAAGGCTGTTAGTTAAGCCATATTTAAGTAACTATAACTTCTATATACATTTTTAGTTAACATGACAGAACCAATACCATAGTAGCCCCTTACCATCAGTGCAGCAAGTTACTGAGCCTGGGTTTGACCTGCCTGATCTCAGTCTCTACACTGCATTCAAAAAGGATTTTAACAGGTCTTCTACGGGACGAGATATGTGGTGCAGTGGTCTTACACTGAACTGAATATCTGTCCATGCACAATGTTTGAAATCCACTTATTTTCCTTCGCCGCGAAAAATAAAACAGATTTTTTGATGTGAAGAAAAAAATCAAAAGGGGAAATCAAACCAGAAGAGACGGTTGAGGAACTACTCATACCAGAAGACAGCCAACTGGAAGTCTTACCGTCAGAGATCCAAGAGGCAGCCGTAACGAAGCAGGCCTCCGCTGAAGAGACTGTGGATCTTTCTCTGGAGAAAACACAGTTCGTCGAAAAAGGCACCAGAAGAAGTTAATTCAAAAAGCCCACATGGTTCCTGACACTGAGCAAACCCTCCTCAATGCATGGAGTTTATTTTACTGACGTCACATGAACACAACCTTTTGTTGAAAACAGGGGTGCAAAAACTTGTTCAAACCAAAATCTACAACAACCATCTTTGAAAACATGCGACCAATGTTAATAATGACAGAAGAAATAAACTTAAAACTACTACAACTGTGCTGTGTGCCTCTCATTCCTACTGTTCTGTAACCGACGATGCATTACTGACTTTTCTCCACTGTTCAACACAGTTTTCACTGAAATGTATTTGTCTGTCTGTTGTACACAGTGAGCTAGCTACATTTAGCTTCATTTAGCTATTGATAGCAGCTAAGCTAACGTCCTCCCTGTGCTACTGTGCTTTATCTCGTATTATCTGCAGTATTCATGTGTTGTCATTCTGTTTTGTGCTTGTATTTAAGTTGTTGTGTGTATATTTGTATGAGAATCCCTTCCCATAAGTGTGGAGATTACCAACGAGTAATGAGTGACCGGAGTATTCTCATCTGGACCTGGTCTGGACCTGGTCTCTGACATACGTACTTTTGACTTTGTAAACTGTTGGTTTTGCACTTTACTTTTGTTTTCAATAAATCTGTGATTGTATCCCAAGACTGTGTTTCATTCATTTATTATTATTGTAGCTGGGGTTTGGGTATTGATTGTTTGTCTGGTCTCGGAGTCTGCTGTAGTCCGGACCCAAGTCCGGACTAGCCTAGCTTAGCCTAGCTTAGATGTCAGTCTCCTCGGTGCAATAGAATTCAGAGTATCCTTTATTATTTTTTATTAAATTTAAATAAGTACAGAGTATGAACTAATCCTACCCTCATACATTCATAAAATACTTACTTATTTACATTCCTTAATTCACGTATGCACATTTTGACTTAAAATGCAAATTGGGGTCAAAATGTGTGCAAATGTTGTGCAAATTCATAACATACAATGATTCCCATAGTTTCACCAAGTGTTGTACAATTAGAATTTATTTATGTATTTACAAATACATTTATGTTTATATTTTTTACGAATGCATTTCTGTCTCTATAGTTACCACGTTCTAGATCTAAAACAAATTCTACAATTCTACAAAGTGTTACTAGGTTACCATGGTTGTTATGGAAATAGAATTCTATTACATCATCTTAGAATTCGTCCATTTTACATGTGCTAGGGTTTGTCTCAAGTCCAATAACAGAAAACGGAGTCATTTTTGCAAAGGTATTATTGCAGAGATCAACTCAGCGACTTACGAATCCAAGTAACATGGAAAAGCCCATTGAAGTCCACAAGACTGACCTGGAGATTCTGCATGAACTGGCAGAACTCCATGGGAAACTTGTACTTTTTAATGAAATGGGAGAGGAGGGTCCAGCACATAAGCCCACTTTCCAGATAGAAGTGCGAGTGGGAGACTTGGTCGGCTTCAGTTCCGGCCCCACCAAGAAAAAGGCGCGGTTACACGCAGCTAAAGACGTTGTGAAGGCGTTGTCCAAGCTCCCACCGCCTCAGGGAAAAACTCCATATTGGTGCAAACCCCACGCGGACCTTATGGACCCTGAAGAGCGCAAGTACTTCTTCCACAATAAAAACCTGATCACCGCGCTCACAGAAGTTCTCATGATCAGGAAACAACCCGCAGCGAGTTTTAAGGTTGTCAACCTTGAACATACCCATGACGCGGATTATACGGTTGTGTATTGTATGGAGGTGACAGCTGGGAACTTGTCTTGTCAAGCTTTCGCCCCCAACAAGAAAGAGGCCAAGGTCATGGCGGCAGAGAGAATGTTGGAGATGATGGGATTCAAAGATCAGCTCCAGATGCAGAATCCACCGATGCAGCCGTATGAGAGCCAGATTTTCCAACAGAAAGTCTATGAAGAGCAAGCAAAACAGCTGCTACAGCACCAAAAGGCTGTAAAGGCTCTGCAACGTCTCAAAGCTACAGAAGACACGGTAGAGGAACTCAGACCAGAAGAGATGGTAGAAGAACTCATACCAGAAGAGAAGTCAGAGCCACTCGTACCAGAAGAGACGGTAGCGGAACTCAAACCAGAAGAGACGGTAGAGGAACTCAGACCAGAAGAGAAGTCAAAGGACCTCAGACCAGAAGAGACAGTAGAGGAACTAATACCAGAAGAGACGGTAGAGCCACTCATACCAGAAGAGACGGTAGAGGCACTAATACCAGAAGAGACGGTAGAGGAACTACTCATACCAGAAGACAGCCAACTGGAAGTCTTACCGTCGGAGATCCAAGAGGCAGCCGTAACGAAGCAGGCCTCAGCTGAAGAGACTGTGGATATTTCTCTGGAGGAAGAAACACAGTCCATCGCAAAAGGCACCAGATCTGCTCATCTCATGGCTGCTGCGATGATGAAGAAGTTAGTTCAAAAAGCCCACATGGTTCCTGACACTGAGCAGCAGATCCATCTTGCCAAATGCTTAGAAAAGTGGAGACTGGGGTTCGGATCCCAGAGGACAGTCAGCTCACAGACAAAGACCTCAAAGCCATCGGGAAAGCGGCCGCCAAAAGCTTGCTGCAGGAGTGTGGCTCGGTGTCTGCTCTAAGCGACAATAGTTTCACTGAGGAAACTATGAAACTGAACCTCCAACTCAGGTATTATTTGGCCCATGGTCCTCAGACTAGGCCAACGTGCTTCTTTGCAAGGGTTTGGAAGGTCTTCAGAAGAAACCGGATCAGCTCAGGACCTCTGAGCACCTATTTGTCATCTCCCATCTACTAATCAAAACCAGTAGAACTTAGATATGACATTATCTAAGACTGGTTGGTAGGTGTGGTTTTTTTATTTGCTTTTATTTATTTATTTATTTAATATTATTTTGTCTTTTGTCAACTGTATTTGACATGAGTTTGGACTGCAACTGGGGAAAATATCCATGAGATTAATTTGAAGGCTGTTAGTTAAGCCATATTTAAGTAACTATAACTTCTATATACATTTTTAGTTAACATGACAGAACCAATACCATAGTAGCCCCTTACCATCAGTGCAGCAAGTTACTGAGCCTGGGTTTGACCTGCCTGATCTCAGTCTCTAAACTGCATTCAAAAAGGATTTTAACAGGTCTTCTACGGGACGAGATATGTGGTGCAGTGGTCTTACACTGAACTGAATATCTGTCCATGCACAATGTTTAAAATCCACTTATTTTCCTTCGCCGCGAAAAATAAAACAGATTTTTTGATGTGAAGAAAAAAATCAAAAGGGGAAATCAAACCAGAAGAGACGGTTGAGGAACTACTCATACCAGAAGACAGCCAACTGGAAGTCTTACCGTCAGAGATCCAAGAGGCAGCCGTAACGAAGCAGGCCTCCGCTGAAGAGACTGTGGATATTTCTCTGGAGAAAACACAGTTCGTCAAAAAAGGCACCAGAAGAAGTTAATTCAAAAAGCCCACATGGTCCCTGACACTGAGCAAACCCTCCTCAATGCATGGAGTTTATTTTACTGACGTCACATGAACACAACCTTTTGTTGAAAACAGGGGTGCAAAAACTTGTTCAAACCAAAATCTACAACAACCATCTTTGAAAATATGCGACCAATGTTAATAATGACAGAAGAAATAAACTTAAAACTACTACAACTGTGCTGTGTGCCTCTCATTCCTACTGTTCTGTAACCGACGATGCAACACTGACTTTTCTCCACTGTGGGACGAAAAAAGGATCACTTCATCTTAACCCTTCAATGGTTTCTTCTGACATTTGGTGGATCACTTTTGCCGTTTTTCCACAGTGTCGGTTCAGTTCATTTCGGTACGGTACGGCGCACCTATTTTGCTTTTCCACTAGTGGATGGAATGGGAGATTTGAGTACTTTTCCGTACTGCCTCAGCCGTGGTTCCATCCCCATAGTACCCGTGCCATGACGTCACGTCGGCCCACTGCCTTACACTGATTGGTCAACGAGTGTCGTCACTGGAAGCGACATCTGACCCTTTGGGAAAAACTACTCAACCGCCATCTTTAAAACCGGCTGCTCTGCTCGGCTCTGCTTCGGCTACATTACGTCCTCCTCACTCCAGAGAAATGGAATTCGACAGAACGCCCCAAAAGTCCTGGTCCTGGTCGGTGGAAGAGGTCCACACGTTCCTCTCTTCAGGCCAAAGAAAGAATTCAAAGGCAGCTCGAGGCTCAACACAGTTTTCAGGAGATCACCCAGCTCTCGATTTGTGACTAGTCTGTGGTAATCCTGGAAATAACTGGTTAGCTACGAACCCCCTAAAGCTCTCACTGAAAAGTATTTACTGTGTAAATGCTCGATTGTCTGTTGTACACAGTGAGCTAGCTACATTTAGCTACATTTAGCTATCGATAGCAGCTAAGCTAACGTCCTCCCTGTGCTACTGTGCTTTATCTCGTATTATCTGCAGTATTCATGTGTTGTCATTCTGTTTTGTGCTTGTATTTAAGTTGTTGTGTGTATATTTGTATGAGAATCCCTTCCCATAAGTGTGGAGATTACCAACGAGTAATGAGTGACCGGAGTATTCTCATCTGGACCTGGTCTGGACCTGGTCTCTGACATACGTACTTTCGACTTTGTAAACTGTTGGTTTTGCACTTTACTTTTGTTTTCAATAAATCTATGATTGTATCCCAAGACTGTGTTTCATTCATTTATTATTATTGTAGCTGGGGTTTGGGTATCGATATTTTGTCTGGTCTCGGAGTCTGCTGTAGTCCGGACCCGAGTCCGGACTAGCCTAGCCTAGCTTAGCCTAGCCTAGCCGCTAACTCGCTACCCCTATGGCTGCCGCTGTCTCTCCCTCGGTCCTTTACTGCTCGAGAAGCCATATGACAAGTTTAAACCCCAGATCCTCCTCTGATGGCAGTGATATAGATGTGTTAAGTGTAGTATAGCAGTAGCTTTGGAATCCAGGGTTAGTGAGTGAGCAGAGTCTCGAGCTAGCGCTAGCATTAGCTATAGCCTAGCAGTATCCTCAGACATGCAGCCCTCCTCCTCTGCTACACAGGCTGCTGTTGCTACGGGTCCCATTCAGATTGTACAGAGCAGTCAGCACCATTGACTTCACAGTGTCTGAGTCATTCTTTTAAGACATAAGCATTTTCAAAAACTACTCGTGCTGTGCTGAATTTTCTATTAAACATTTGCTCTGGTATTATAATAAATCCATGCACCTCAACCAGTACTAGTTACGCGTCACACGTAAATGACGTCTGACAACGCTGAGGAGATACTGGGGGGTACTATTTTTGATGGAAAAGCACGCAAACTGGGCCATGGCGCGCCGTGTAGAGTCAAAACGTACCGTACTCGGACCGTGGAAAAACGGCATAAGATGGCGGTCGTAAAGAGCAGGAGTCAGTGATGGATTATGTAGCGTTCATGAGTAATAACTTGAGTATTAGACGTATTAGTGATGGTCAACATGCAGAAATAGCAAACACTACACACTCAAGACCCGGGAGCCTGGTTCAGACCAATTCAGACCAATGTTTGGGACGTCCATGGTGGCAGCGTAGTCCAATGAGCCGAGTGATCCCCCGTGGCTTGATTACGCTAACAACATCACAATAAACAAAGTGTCAGTTGTCCGTGTAATTCCTGCAAAAAGAAAACAGATTTAAAAAGATGGAGCCCTGGTAAGAATAGAGAGGATCAAAATAAATGAATACAAATGTAAAGTGGGAACTGAACTCATTCATTCATCATCGTCATTTGGGGATGAATGCAGGACACTATATGGATTTCACTATAAAACATGACAATTCAATTCAATGTGTTCTTGTATAGCCCTAAACCACAACAGTAGTTATCTCGGAGGACTTTAGAAAACTGTTGAATTCACAAACACAGATCAGAGAATCAAAAAGTTCAGACACAAGAAACTGAAGGATTTTTTATTGTTAATGCACTGTGGTTATTATTGTTATTTATTTTAATCTATTGTGTGATTTTATTGGTTTTCATTCCTTGCGTGATTTTTAATTGTGTTTTAAATGGTGATTTTGGTGTTTGATTATGTGACAATCCTTAGATCCTTAGATCCTCCTGCATCTGCAAGAAAAAAAAAGACGAATCCCAAACTCACTCCCTCGGTCAGAACAATCCCTGCTGTACCAGTGTGAGTGACGGTGACGCACAAGAACCACCCTCAGAGCAAACCCCAAACACAAACCCTGTGTGTGAATCCTGGATATATAGCCTCACCGCAAGAATCATAACAATCACTGTAGCCATCGGACCAGCGTCTGAGGCACGGACCAAAGAAAGCTTTCCTTGGGGAGAAACAAGCCTGGATTCCCCTAGAAAAAAAGGCATTCTGAAACCTCAGAGACTATCCTGGTGAAATAAATGTATTGTAAAATTCTGGTTGAAACTGTATGACGCCGTTTTTGCCATTTGGACCTCGAAATGAGAGTTTTGTGTTGCTATTAAATAAGCCCTGGTGGGTTTCTGTTGTGTGAACTTCAGTATTTACTTAGAAAACCTAAAAGAGATTTTCTTGGAGGTTCCCCTTTGAGAGCATCAATTATTTTCAATTTCAGGGTTCTGGGAAAGTGCTTAGAGAATCCCTGAGCTGCAGATAGTTGGAGCAAGGTCAGGGGAGGTATTTTTTAAGCTTTGAAATATGCACTAGCCTTTTTTCCTGATCATAATTGTGAACAAGCCGTGGTTCTCTCCGGATGAATATTGCTACAATGAGCTCTTAGTACTTTAAAATTATTGACACATCATGTTTGCCTGGAATAATGTTAATGCAACCTGATCGAGCCTGATGTTTTTCACTCCTCACTATTGGCACACTGAGACTCAGATCTGCAGTGAAAAGGCGGTATATAAAATAAAAACTTACTTACTTACTTACTTACACTTGCTTCTGGTTCTGATTGGGTTCGAATCCCGGTCTGGATGTGTGCCTTTGTAGGTTTCCTCCTGATGCTCCGGTTTCCCCTACCACTAAAAACATGCACAATAGCTCTAAATGTAATGAGTGAGTGAATGGTGTTTGGTCAGAGGCTTTGATGGTCCAGTGTGTTCGGCGTCTCGCTTCTGTCATCACCGTGTGGAGTGAATGGAACAATATCTGAACTCTGAACATTGTAAAGCGCTTTGGGTGACCTTGGTCGGTAAAAATGTGCTGTATTAATAAAAATTACCTACTTACTTGTGCCACCATTGTAAGGCAACTGTCGGGTAAAAGTGAGGAAAGGCACGATTTATACAGTAACTCTCTAACAAATGAAAATTGCCTACTTCCATTATTAGAGATAGATAGATAATTTATTGATCCCCCGTGGGAGATATTCAGGTTTCCAGTAGCAGCAAAAATATAAAATAATATGTATCATTCTATAAAGCTAACAATAGCTAACAAATCTCGAGGACCCCCTCTAAAATAAATAAATAAATGAATAAAATAGTAATAATAAGCAACAGCCCTTCATGTCACATTATGTATTACATCTTTATGCGATTATTCTCTTACCTTTACATCCAAAGTACTTCTAACTCAATTGCTTCTACACAAACACAACACTTGGCGCTAAGCAAATGGTGATAGTTGAATGAAAAAGGTCAAATAGAAAAAATATGAACGTGACAGAGGACTGGAAAAGACTCTGCAGCAGATCTGCATGAAGCCCACAACGGCTGTCACCAATCTGGCTCTGCTCCCCGCAGAGCCACAGAGTCCAATGAGGAATAATGAGCTTTAGAAATTCAAGAAAGGTCAGTCACTGCAAAGATCTCCCTCTTCAGAACTGCCCAATCAGAAATGCCACCATCCGAGCTTGAAAAGAAGCTCCCATATAGTGAGATGGAGAATAGCCGAGCAAAGCAGTCTAAAGAAGATCTTCACCTTTATCTGACAACCTGCGAGCGGCGCAGCAGCAGAGCAGCAGCAGAGCAGCAGCAGAGCAGTAGCAGAGCAGCAGCAGAGCAGCAGCGGGGGGTGCAGCAGGAGATGAGAGGATGGAGCTACGACAGAAAGTATGGAAAGGGTGCAGAGAGGGGAGGTTTATTCGGATGACACCAACTCATTTTGCAGTGAGAGTAATAGAATGATAGTGTCAAACTCAAGTAAAGGCCAAAGGATTGTACAAATTTTGGGAGAGAAGCTGTAAAAAAGTCGATTTAGGAAATTGGGAACTCAAAGCAGGCACTTTAATCAGTGCTCAGTTTGCTCAGAGAAACATTTTGTGATCCAGCAAGACTCCTCTTTTGTACGGGAATGTTACAAGCAAATGTTTTGAATCTTTCATGAATTATTTGCTGATTTATAGTTATAGATTTCCCATCAAATATCGTATTTATGTGAGTGCCAGAGGCTGTTGTGGTTCTTTCAGTCTCCTCCTAATACATTTCTGATCCCAGGACAGAGCTGGATGCCCTTTTTGCTAATGAATCCAGTTACAGTACTATCTCACACGGATCATATCAACATCGTGTAAACAAAGACAAAAAAAATATGTTATGAGCTATGGATTGATTTGTGGAACAGGCCTTTCTGTAAACAATCACATTGACTGTCTCGTCTTCAGATATATGTTTTGGTAATACTGTAAATACTACTTTGCAAGCACAGTATAAATAAAGAACAGTTTAAATACATTCCCTCGGTGGGGTAAATACTGTATATAAAGCAGATCAAATCAAAGAGAAAATCTGTAGAGTTTGATCATGTTATTTTGGCTTCAAATGTTAAAGTATTTGAATAGGTCGGGCTTCGGACTGTGACGTCATGGCATGTTTACAGTCCAGCGCTGTGTCGAGTGTAGGAAACACAGTGGAGGACAGATTTAACCTCTGACCCCGGAGACACGCTCGATTGTGACCCCCAATTTACACATTACGTCTTTGGTTCATAAACGTAGGCGTAGGATCTAAAGCTTTTCGTTCTTTGGCAGCACAGTGGCGCCGTGTTAGAGCTTGTTTTTCACAGCAAGAAACTGATTCCGCCTTCGGGCCTTTCTGTGTGGAGTTTGCATGTTCTGCCCATGCCTGCGCAGGTTACTTCCGGGTGCTCCAGTTTCCCACATTGCTAAAAACATGTACAATAGATATGAATGTAATGAATGGATGATGTTGGGCGAAGTACACACAAGACAGTAGTGCCAAAATAATAAGTTACAATCATAATAATCCAAAAACAACGCTCTACTGAATGTAAAAAGGCGCTGGGTACAAAGAAGAATCAAGGAACAAACACACAATGGACCGACAACAAGAGGGAAAGAGCACAGGGAATTTTAATGGGGATGGGCGTGGTCAGGCAATCAACAGAACAGGAAGTAGTAGTAGTTTGGCCATTAGATCTCAGGTCACATGGTTTCAAATATCAAATACATTTTACGATATGTAAAACTCAAACGGACACAAAAAAACAGATGATACAAACTAAAACAAAGACAATACAAAAATAAAAATGACAACCGTGACAACCAGTGTGTTTGGCGTCTCGCTTCCATCATCACCGTGTGTGGGGAGAATGGAAAAACACCTGAAAACATTGTAAAGCATTTTGGGTGACCTTGTTCTGTGAAATGCGCTATAAGATTACTTACTTACTTTACTTACTACTTAATTTACACCAGCATTTAAAAATATATGCGTTTTTTGAACACTATGAATACACTGGATTTTATTTTGTATGCGTAAATATTGCGGCTAAATACTGCAGTTATAGGGTTTGGACAGGAATAGGCATAGAATGGTGTAGGGTATGTGCGTCTCCTGTCCATTACACCTACATTATTACGCACATCGCTTGGAGTTCATTAAAGACGTGCAAGACATTTTCGCTCACTGGGGTAAGTGGCTAAAAGTTCCACTGGGTTTGTGTGACTTTAGAGAAGAAGTGTTAACAAGGTAATGAGGCTGATATATGGAGAGGCAGGAAATCTAGCCTGCACTTGTAATTGAGCAAAATTATGGATCAGAAAACAAGTCTGCACCATGTTAGCCCGGCCTTAGCCATCCGTAAACTCTGGTCGATTATTTCCTACATGTATGTCTGGGTCTGATCCTAGTGGCTGCGATTACCTCAATTGTATCCCATCCGTTGTAGGTTGGTGTCGTGTCAAGAGTTTGCGCCGAATGAGCCGGTTGTAGTTTGGCAATGGCGGTGAATAAGATAGTAAAGAAATATGTTCTGGAGGATTTTACCTTGTTTGCATGTTTTTAGTGGTAGGTGGAAACCGTAGCATCCGGAGGAAACCTACGTAATGAACCAGTTATATTATATATGTGATGATGAATAATGACTGTTGACTGTACCCAAGATCTTCCTTTGCTTGTACCCAATATCAGACTCGCTCTCACCATTATATGTAGTAGTAGTAGTAGTATTTTTTATTTGAGCAGTTTTACAATGTATTTTATATATATATATTTTACATGCAAATATAATTCAAGAAAGAAGAAAAAATATTAATGCCTTCCCCTTTATCAATAATTCATATAAGCGTCTGCGAAAAGATTTACATTTTCACATGACATTATATCACATCATTTTCCAAAGCACCACTTAAAGGAGTAGCTCAGTAAAGTAGCTCTCTGGGTGGAGGTTGGACACACCTGGTTTATGGTAATCCTCGACAGATATGCACTAAGACATATGGCATTTCAAGTCACTTTAATTAAGTTTTGTATAGCCCAAAATCACAAAAGTCTAGGTGTCTCAGAGGACTTTACAAAACTGTTGAATTCGCCCACACAGATCAGAGAATCAAACAGTTCAACACAAGAAATGCAATGATAAAAAACAAAATGTTGACAAAAGTCCATCAATGTTGTTGAATGTCGAGTGTCCTGGATGATCACCTCCTGCATCCATCCATCCATACATCTATTTTCTTCCCCCTTTACGTCTGTCGTCATGAAGTCATTTGAACGCCTGGTCCTCTCCCATCTCAAGTCCTTCACCTCCCCCCTCCTGGACCCCCTGCAGTTCGCCTACAGAGCCAACAGATCTAACAGATCTGTAGACGACGCCATCAACCTGGCCCTCCACCACATCTTACAGCACCTGGACTCCCCGGGGACTTACGCCAGGTCCTGTTCGTGGACTTCAGCTCTGCCTTCAACACGATCCTGCCATCCTTGCTCCAGGACAAGCTCTCCCAGCTCAACGTGCCCGATTCCACCTGCAGGTGGATCACTGACTTCCTCTCGGATTATAAATACAGGAGCCCCACAGGGCTGTGTTCTTTCTCCCCTGCTCTTCTCCCTGTACACCAACCACTGCACCTCCAGCCACGACTCCGTGAAGCTGATCAAGTTCGCGGACGACACCACCCTCATTGGACTCATCTCCAACAACGATGAGTCCGCCTACAGGAGGGAGGTGGACCGGCTGGTGTCCTGGTGCAGTGGTAACAACCTGGAGCTGAACGCCCAGAAGACAGTGGAGATGATTGTGGACTTCAGGAAGAGCACTGTCCCCCCGCCCCCACCCTCCGTGATGGACTCCCCCATCACCTCTGTGGAGTCCTATCGTTTCCTGGGCACCACCATCACCCAGGACCTCAAGTGGGAGCCGACCATCAGCTCCCTCATCAAGAAGGCCCAGCAGAGGATGTACTTCCTGCGGCAGCTCAGGAAAGCCAAGCTGCCTGCACAGATGTTGGTGCAGTTCTACACGGCCATCATCGAGTCCATCCTCACCTCCTCCATCACCGTGTGGTTCGCTGGAGCCACAGTCAGGGACAAACAGAGACTACAGCGCATTGTGCGCTCTGCAGAGGAAGTGATCGGCCGCAGCCCTCCATCGCTGCAGGACCTGTACGTCGCCCGAGCTCGAGGCCGGGCTGGTCGTATCACAGCTGGGTTGGGGGGGTGACAGTCAGAGCTGCACCCAGTACACATAGCACCAGTCCCTCACGGATCCTCCTGCAGGTGGTGAATCCACAGGAGCTGAGATCTCTCAGCGGGGGCTTCAGGCAAAGTGGGGTTAAGTGTCTTGCCCAAGGACACAATGACAGCAGTCATCAGTGAGAGTCATAAAGTAGGTCTTACAGTGGGTTCAAACCCACGACCTTCAGGCCCAATGGCCAATGCTCTACCAACTGAGCTACTGTTGCCCTCCTACATTAGCTATATTAAGCCCATACGTTATTACTATTATTATTATTATTATCGATAATCACAGACAGGTTTTATTCAGACTATCCCATATTTTTCAGTTCAAGAATCTTGCCTCTAACTAACGTATGCCTGTTAGTGTTCATAGTGCAATATCTGACAGCCTTGCGTTATTTATTTTTGGGGAATCAAATGATGACTGAAAACAAATTTACATACAAAACAAAAGTTTCTTTCCTGCCTAAGAACACAGAATTGTAATATAAATGTTATTGGAAAGAAGAAACAGCAAAGTCAGCGGTGCACGTGCCCAGTGGAGTGTGGATTTGGTTCATATGGAGGAACCGAAATGCCAATTATCGCTTGAGCTTGTGCTTGAAATGTTTGTCTTAAACTTTGTCATCCGTAGCTCTGCCAAAACACAGGAACAAGTGGATGTCTTTCTCCTCAACAGTTTACTCACTCAACAAAAATACTTTCACTTTGGGAATAGTTGAGTTTATTGTTTATGATTCATGATATGTCATACAACTGGGTCTCTAACCTTTTCTAAACAGAGAGCTTCTTTTTCAGGACAAGGGATACTCATAGTCGGTTTGAGTCCCAGTTGGAACAAGGTCTTTCTGAGTGGAGTTTGCATGTTCTCCCCCTGTCTGCGTAGGTTTCCTCCAGGTGCTCCAATTTCCCTTACAACTAAAAACATGTAAAGTAGGTAGAAACACTTGTAAAATCCTCCAGCTGTAGTAGTCCTGACCAAGCAAAGCATTAATATCTGGAGATGGGTTCCCGGGCCCTGTGCTATGGCGACCACGGCTTCTAATAGACGCCCCCTAGTGGCATCAGGGTCAAATGCAGAAGATGAATTGCCCTAATTTTACTCCTAAAAGATAATGATAGTCAATGCTGTATAATGTGACATGCCTTGGAATTACTTTATCGTATACTGTCATAAATATATTACCCATTTATTAGTGCACAAAGTTAAATGATTACAACAGTTGCAGGCAGCATGGGAAACCTCACTTTTTACACATTTAGTAGATTATGTTATATTTCTAAATCCTTAGGGAGCTACTTGGAAAGAGGTGCCCACATTAGGACAGAAGTGTGAAACATTTCTTTTCAGTGCCGCGCCCCCACAGACGGAAATATCATACAGAAATCCAAAGTCTTGTTCCAATAGGACATTTTCAGCCTTCTGGAAGACCTGAAAATCCAATCAATAACCAGTCGCTGTTCAAAATACTTTTCTTGTATGTTTTTTATAGAACTGAATGAATCAATGTTTTATATAAATGTTTTTCAGAGTTTTGATTAATACATTCCTGATTGAACAATATGCAAAATAAGTATTGCTCAAACCTGCATGAGTAAATCTGACATCATAAGACCCAGCTTAAAGGTAAATAGGAGGATGTTCTATTTCCGGGTGGATCATCAAGGCTATTGGTCCTCCTAATTGTCAATCATTCTGCAGATACGAGCTTGTCTAAAAATAGTTTATTTTTTATTTTTTAAATGGAGAGGGCAGTTCTTTCCTAAAATTTGGGAAAATCCTCCTATATACTTTTATTGTACTGACAAATATTAACTTAACTTGTGGTGACCACACTTTAAACCAAGGTCTACGTTTCGCAAAGTGAGAGATATCCCCTGTTTAAAGTATAGGGATGTAGCAGTGCATTTATTCTCATGTTATTTGCTTGAATTCATATTTTAAATATGTCCAAGCACACTCAACTTCTCCATATGACACCAAACTTCTCATTATGCCACCCAACTCTTCACATGACACCCAACTTCCCCATATGACACCTGACATTTACAAAATGAGAAACACCAAGACATCACTAACATCAATCTCAACTATTTTGTCCCAGGTGGATGTGTGGATTTCAGAAGTTTGAATACTTGCAGTAACTTCATCAACAATTATTTACTGGTTAGAACGACACAGTTTACACCAAGCTAAGTACATGTGGATATACAGTACTTGATAGATTTTGCCGATGCACCCATGGACGCATTGGCCTTAGCCTTGATCAGAAAGACATGATCAGACAGATCGAGGCTATGCTCTCACAGACAGAGCAGCCCTCGTCCTGTGGACTCACCACCTGCAGAGGATCAGTGAGGGGCTGGAGCTTTGTGACTTGTGTGGCATCTCCGACTGCCCCCCCCCCCCCGACCCAGAAATGGATTAAAGGGCAGAAAATGGATGGATGGAGCCATGGACATTATCAAATTTCAATCTTGAGCACATCGTTACATTTCTGATCAATGCTGCACTTGTTGAAGCCGTTTGGTCAGACACCCGTGTCTTGGTAGGGTTTCAGTTGTGCCATATTATTTCCTCTTTCCCAGATCATGGATTTTACAGCGCTCTTTGCAATTTGAGAAATGTGTTTTTCTTCATTTTGTACGCATGACAAAAGTTGTTATAGTAATTTTTCTGACCACCGTGTTCAGGCCTAATGCAGCTTGTGATGAGGCCTCTCGCCACAGATCTGTCCGAGCATCTGGATGTCCTTGGTCATGACGGTCTCTTTTTTACCGTAGTGACAATCAGGTTGTTATATATTTGCAAAAACATCTCACTCACTTTTCTCTTATATGATAATTACTCATCATTGTAATTATTTTCTGGGTGAAAGGTGTTGTGTTGAGTTGGTGTTCACACATGTGCAGTGCCTCCAATTAAACCACCAGATGGCGCTGCAAAACATCCAACACTGAGTCATCACAAGTGCGGACAAGTTTTAGGGTTAAACACGGTTTATTTAGCTAACAATGAAGGACGGTGGAACTTTGGCTTAGTTTACATTGCAAAAACGGATAAATTGCTTGAATAATGTTGCTTTTATCTTAATTTGAGTACATTTAGAAAAAAAATTTTTACTTAATTTTTAATCACTTTAAGCAATGCCTTAATTTCTGTAAACATTGGTTGTTTTATTTTTCAACAAAAAACAATCACTATTTAGATTGTTGGCTTTGCTTTGATTGTTTGATATGACAAATTTATTTTTATTTTTTTCAAATCTGCCATTCACAAATCAACCATTTTGTTAAGTCTTTTTGAAACAGAATTAAACCGTGGGTGGTCAACTCAATACACCCAAATCATTTTTTTGTATTTATCTTTTCATCATTATCAGAAAAAAATATAGACCTAATATATACCTACAGACATACATACATGTACACAGACAGTCGGACACAGTTATACAAGTACAAATAGGCGACCAAAGGGAAAAAATGGAGACCCCCAAATCTGATGAAGAAGTGGGGACATTACTGCACACACATAACCCATCTCTGGTCCCGCGGGTGATCACAGCTAACAGTGAGATCGGCATGAATGAGGTTTTTAAAGAAATCCATTAGAGAACAAGCGACCGCAGCTGTAATGTCATTATAAATTGGGCCAAGAGAAAAAGGGAACATAAGATCATATCAACACACGAAACGGAACAGCTCAAAGCTTCACGATAATTCTGTGTTCCTTCATCTGAAATGATCATTATTTTGCTTCACTCAGATGTGAACAGGAACATTTCGATAATTTTCACGCTGTAATTGCGGTGGCTCGTTCGGTTCAGGCTAACTTTTGTTTTGCCTGTGTGGATAGATTACATGGGCGCAACTCGTACAAGTGAAAATAAGTAAAGCGTCGCTCAAATTTGGCAAAAAGTATCTTAATTTTATCACATTTAGACTGCCTTAAAACAAGATACAAGAAATGCCTCTCTTGGAATGAGAAAATATAACAGTTCATGAAATAAGAGAAAATGGCTTTGTCCCATTGTGTACACATTATGTACACAAATTATTATAAAAATCACTCTATTAAAGAAATAATCACCTCATATTTAATCGTGTTTTCAGTGTATTGAAACTATAATCGTATATGATTATTTTCAATGTTTTATCTGACCCTCTTTCTGGCCTTTTTGCTCTCAAACCATTAACTCGCTCATGAGATAGCCGTGCCTTCAAACCAGCATTGCCATTTACACCTATTGTTCACACTCCATCACTGCTCCATCCTCTCCTCTCCGCCCTTTCCCCTCTTCACTCCCGCCCTTCTCCCTTCAGTGAATTTTAAATGAGCAGAAAAGCCCAATGGATATATCACTAACTCCATTAGGCAGACACCACTAGCCTTTTCGAGTCCTTAAAGGTGCCTGGTATGGTGCATAGTAGGAGACATTGTCTAAAGGGCAAAGGCATGGAGCAGCTCAGAGTGTAATTGTGTGTTTTAATGAGAATCAAGTTGTGGTTTACAAGATTAGGCACAAACAAAATGGATATAAAAGAGGACATTTAACGGCACTAAACATACAGTAGCTACATACATACAGAGAAAACCACAAAATCAATCATACAAGGAGAGAGAAAGGGTCTGGATGGGCTCGGCAGGAGGCCTTCAGCTACATTACGTGTTGTATCAAGCCAGGATCCACAGGCCGCGAGATTGTGTCAGAGTTCTCTACACACTATCTGAAAGGGGGAATGATGTCACAGACGTGCAAGTTCCGATTGGTCAACAAGACACCATCAAAAGCAGGAAATTTGAAAACATCAAAAACACACAACATTGTAGATAGATAGATGTATATAGCTAGATGGATGGACTTTATTGATCCCACACAGGAGAGATTCAGGTGTCCAGTAGCAGCAGAAATACATCTATCAATACATACAAACAAATCAAATAAATACATGATCGTAAAAAGTAGCAAACAATAGTACTAAAATGCAACAGAGATGGAGTAGCCGCTTGGTTTGGACCATTTTCTCTGCTCTGGTTCAGAGTGAAATTCTGAATGCTATCAAAACAATTAGCATTTCTCCACTGAATCGCTGCGTGGCCTGCTTGGTTCTGACTGTGAATCCTCTCCGCTCTGGTCTGGATCAGTGCAAAACCATGAACACAGAGACTTGGTCCATAGGGTTAGCAGGATGACCAAAACCCAAACACTATTAGAGCCATAATTTAGTTTATATCAAAATGTCTAAAAAGTCTAAAATGTGTTCTAAAATTTAAAATCGTGATTTAAAAACCTCCTGAAATGTAATTATCATTTACTTATTTGAATGTTAAAATGCATGTCTTAATATTCGTTTAGAGCTACCGGGGCAAGGTAATCATGTAATTAGATGGAACAGATGCGGGGAAATTGTTATTAATGAGGGTGACCGACATGGTTTTGACAGATTTGGATCAATAAACGAGTGGAAATGGATCTACGGCCACGCCCAAAGGATGATTCTTTAGAAGCCATCACAGGTGAGAAAAAAAACAGTGGAAAATTTAAGGGAAACCCATATCGAGAGAGGGTTCTGTCCAATTGTGTAAGCCATCCTCAAACAACTCAAGTAGAAGCACGATGTCATATTATGTCCAACAGAAAATTAAAAGTGCAAACTGCGGTGTCGAAATATCTCAGTCAAATTCAAATGTAAACCTTGAAACCAGAGTGTGTGGAGCATTCTAATGAAGCCATTGAGGGGGATTAATATGCTGGGTAATTGCTGGATCTCGTCTTCCTCTCCAAAGCCCCTTTTTAATCAACAGTCAGCTAATTACCAAACCAGGGGATGTTCCACGAATAAAATGGTGTTGGTTTTACCCCGATGGGTGGTCAGAGAGATAAGAGCCTCGGATGCACGGCTCGTCACGTACCATCGTTTTAGGATAACCGAATGAGCAAACTGTGCATATGTAATTGCTCTGGCTGACCTCTGTATGTGCACGGTGAGTCATTCACAACGGCAAAGTGAAGATTTACAAACCAGTCAAGATATCCAACAATGGAAAGTGTGTTTTTTCAACAGCAAAGTAAAACGATTACAGTAATTGGTGGACTGTAAGACAATGCGCGAGTTGCTATTGTGGTAGAGTATCTCCGAGGGCGTGGGAAAGAGTGATGTCATAGTTCTTTCACCTGTAGGTTATCAGAATCAGAAACCTTTTTTAGCCATTGTAAGAAAAAGGCAGTCACAAATTTACTTTGGCTCAAGTCATACAAGTAAGAATAGGTTTAAGGCATACATAAAAAAAGGATCCTGGTGTATTGTGAAATGGGTGGCAGCTTGGATTGCCACCCCCGAAAACCAGAAATGGATAAACAAGGAATGAAAATGAAATTAATTGAAATTGGAAAATTGACATAGAATTTCTGAAAATTACTACAATCACTTACGTCACTAAGCGTTCATGAGTCCAACTGTAGAAGGGAAGAAACTGCTTCCTGCCCGAGGGGAGAGGTTGGAATAGACCATGGGCAGGTGAGTGGGGTCAGTTATACGACCAGCCCGGCTTCGAGCTCGGGCGACGTACAGCTCCTGCAGCGAAGTAAACCAGGACCCCCCTCTCCGCTGTAGTCTCTGCTTGTCCCTGACAGTGGCTCCAGCGAACCAGACTGTGATGGAGGAGGTGAGGATGGACTCAACGATGGCCCCGTAGAACTGCCCCAACACTGGCTCTCCTGTACTTCTCTTGTGTTTCGTGCATCTCCTGGTGCTCTCCCTGCTGTTCACATAAACAGCTATGTTCAACTGCCCATAGAGAGTCACATTCAAGTAGTTACGAGCTTACAGACAGAGATTTATTTGAGGTCCCAGTGGTTTCACGCTTTACGCCGCTGGGTCGACACTCAAAACGATGGACTGACAACTTCAATAAAAATGTATAAACACTGGATTGGCTAAACATGGCCTTCACCTGTTGCCCTCAGCTCCTCATGCGACATATGCATCTCAGGAATCTATGGAAATAAGAGCTCAATAGTTGTAAGGACAACTTATGCAAAATTATTCTGGAAATGTTCTGTGTTGACTGTCATCCCACAGAAGGCCAGAGGAAGGTGTTTGTGACAATACATGAAATCTACAACATATTTTCTTTCTTTTCAGAACTCTCCATGGAACATTTATTTTTGTCTTTTTCTTGTGTTATATCTTTGATTCCAGGTGTTGTTAACCCTAACCCGATGACACCATGTTTCATTAGATAACGTTTTTCCCGCAGAGATGTCACTTTGTCAGTTTAGTGTGACAACTGTGACATGAAATCCCGTAACTCAAAGCTACAACATGGCGAGATCATGAAAAAGAGGCTGCACCTGAGTCACAGAGCGCAGTGTCGTGTTGTGACAGCCACTGGCGACATGAAAGGTTCAAGGTGACATTTGGGTCCAATGCACAGGAGCCAGGGGACCAGAGAAAGAGACAGGAGCTGAGCCTATTGAACAAAGTGCTGTAAAACTACAGCACAGGTGAGGCAATGAAATCCAGAGTGTCAAGTTCTTATTGTTCAAGTGAATTTATTCTTGTTTAGCCCTAAATCACAACAGTACAACAGTGCACACTGGTGTAGTCTTACACAGTTTCTCCAATGCGGTTTTACTGAAAATGGCAAATAAATTCTTGACTCTTGAGTCTCGGAGGACAAAACGGTTGAATTCGCCCACACATTTAAAAAAAAAATCAAACAGTTCAAACACAGAAAAAGCATTGGTCCATAAGGGGAAGACAGATGTTTAAAAGTGTTGTTGACTTTCGAGCGTCCTGGATCATCACCACTTTTATTCATAATTAATGTAATAGGAAAGGCAAGTTTATTTGTATGTGACCCCTGGAAAAGTCATGTTCCAGCTTCTTCCTTCTGGGAGAAGATATCGTTCGCTGTGATGCAGGACATCTCGATATGCAATTTTATTTGCCTTTTTATTGAAACTGTTCGATTTCACTGCGTCAATTGTTTCCTGTTTTGTTTGTTTTATTTCTTTACTTTCACCTTGTTTTATTTGTGCACACTGAGGACTTTTGCGGATGTATTTCAAAGTGGTTTGACTGCAATTGGTAAATAAATTAATATGAATCTGTTTCATATGACACTATATCATATTATTCTGCATTTGATGCTTTAGTAATTTACAAAGGATTCCAAACAAATCAAAACGACCAGTAGTAAGAATGCCACAAGTGCAGGTCGTGAGGTTCTGCTGGTTCTGCTACATGAGTAGAGATGTCCATCTGGTCTTCAGCCCAAACTTCACTCATCTAAATAGTTATAAAACTGCAGGAGTCCAGAGCAGTAATAGTCTCCCGGGTGCCGAGCAGACGTTTCCTCTAGTTTTAGCAAACTCCTGCTGAGCTCATCCAACCACCTCAAACACTCACTTTAGAGTCCATTTCTCTGGATGTTGTTGAAAACTGAAAACTGCATTTCAAAAGCTGCTAGCACTTTATCAGAACAAGACATACATTACTGCATTCATTCATCACGGGTCATAAATGAAGTGCTGTTACTTTCTGACCGCACTCGGCCTCAGTTATTAAACATTATTTCTATTGGATCAAAGCCAATTCCTCTGAAGTATCTATTATCACTTTCTGCAAATTTAAAAGTGTAATTTATTTTTACACAGAAAACATATTTTGTGCCCTCACCTGTACATAACACACACACACACACACACACACATCTGTCTATGTTTTGTTATGCCATTTCCAGCATTATTCTGTTTTGTGTGTTGATGTTTCTCCCCCTAACCCTCAAAGTCCCTCCTCCTCCGAGCGTCTGGAGGGAAAACTTCCACCAACAAACTTCTGGCCACAGAGGAGAAACATATGTGAGGCTTAACAGACAAACGGCAGAACAAAGCCTTCAGGAACGAGCCCCTTTTTTTTAACAAACCCTGCCTCAATCACAGCCTGTTTTTATATGTATGTAATGCCAACGTAACTACAGCTGCTCGACGCCATGGATGGATATTTCTATTTTATTGTTCTTGTTTGTTTTCAACTCTTTTGCTGTCCTTCTACCTGGGCTGCTATGGACTCCTGCTACAGCGAGAAGGGGATCCCCAACCGCTGCATGCCAAAGTTTGAGAACGTCGCATTCAACCGCACCGTCGTGGCCTCCAACGTGTGCGGCTCGTCCCCCGAGGACTACTGCATGCAGACGGGATCCACGCGCTCCTGCCACAAGTGCGACGCCTCCGACCCAGCTCTGAGCCACAACGCCAGTCTGCTGACCGACTTCAACCGCAACGACGACCCCACGTGGTGGCAGAGCGAGTCCATGTTCTACGGCGTCCAGTACCCCAGCTCCGTCAACCTCACCCTGCATCTGGGTAAGGAGCTGCTGGGAATAAGTTTGGGCTAAGATAAGATAAGAGAAGAGAAGATTCTTTATAGTGTCGCATTTGGCATCAATAGTCTCACTTTAATTCTGCCTTCTCCTTTTGCGCTTTCTTTCTTTCTTGAATTAAATGCATGTGAAAAATATACATAAAATACATTGTAAAACTGCTCAAATAAAAATTCTACTACTACTACTACTACTACTACTCATGGAAAAAAAAGACAGAAAATATGTTAAAAAAGTGAAAAGTTTGTCTCTTTTGTGCAGGGTATATTATGTGTGTGTAAAAGAGACGACAATATTAAAAAAAATTGTGATCAGCTGTCCAAAATATAATCCAACTGTTTTACAAATTAGTTCGGTTAAATAAGTTTTTAAATAATAACCAAATTGGAGTTTCTTTAGATTATCTGTCACAGGACTCACTGGTACATTTAACAGTTAGTATAGTATAAGAATTTATTTAAAATGTTATGCAAAAGAAAACAAAAATAAACAATAAACAAGATATGAAATACAAACAAGACACACAATAAACAGCAATTTTAAAAAAGAGGCTGGAAGAAACAGATTCTACCTCAATACCTCCTAAAATATGACTCCAGAAACATATATTCTGTTTAAATATAGAAAAAACTTTATAAAGCTTCTTAAAACAATCCACGACATACACTGTTTTATAATTAAATTCAATAGTTCTAACCATACCTCCTACTTTATGACTTGAGACATATATATTTTTAAACGGTTTACAAAATAGCATTTGACAAAGCTTTTTAAAACGATCTGCAACTCACACTGTTTTATAGTTGCTTTTAACAATTCAAACCACCTCTTTAATTCTGAATCTAAACAGTATACCTACATTTCTGGATCATAAACGACAACTTTTTTCAGTTTCTTTGAACCCAGCGGCCGATGCGATGCAGCCAATGTACATATTCTTATTTTGTTAGAGCTCCCCAGGAAGGAATTTAGCTCCAACACTAATGGCATAGCTCACATTCCTGCTCCTCGTTTGTTTATGTGAAGGGTAAAATATAAATCAGACTTGTGTTTAAGTGATTAGGGCGGTTATCAGAGCAAAGTTTGTGAACTTTTTATTTTGAGTTTTAGCAGGGACGGGACCATAGACTGTATATATGGATAATGCTAACCCACTAGCTCAATGAAGTCCAATAGAAAAGTGCTCATGGATGAAGGTTTGCTCCGACTTGCTTTGACTCCTACTGACTTAAATGGAAAAAAAAACCTCCTAGCTCAGTAACTGTTTGTGCCACACTCACCATTTTCGGCTTAAAAAAAATCTGCGGTATAGCGCTCTCTGTGATCTTGGTGGTTATAATTGATTAACTTTGTGAATCCAGACGAGGCCTATAATGACTCCAGCTTGCCTTCTCAGCAACTGTCTTAGCAAGCTAACACTGCGGCAGAAACGCCCATATAGGGAAATTGGCTCCAGCTATAAGAATCATATTGAGGGATAATATATTTCTATCTTTCTTTTTAACGTTCTGTGATAATTTATGATTCTAATGTCTTGTGTGACTGTTTCTATCTTGTTTTGTTCAGCACTTTGAGTTGCCTTGTGTATGAATCATGCTATACAAATAAACTTGCCTTGCCTTGCCCTATATGATTTATGGAAGGGACACTTAATTATTGTCAAAACGATTTTATTTGTTATTTTATTTTATTTGTTCAAATGTAGCCGTTGCAGTCTGAATTCAGGTCAGATAAATTGTAGAGCAAATACTGTACATTGTTTTTTGTAAAAGTTTGTCATTCTTTAAAAATACAGAATAAACTAGAAATACACATACTACAATACAACTTTGAGCACATGTAGACTAGTGCATCCAATGTGCCACATACCCTGAGACTACTGTATGTTCATAAATAAACCTCATTTTGACTAAAGTTCAAAGTCTGCCCATGATAACCTGCCTTAAGTAATGCAGGAATGAATTGGTGATAAGGATAGCAGGGCAAGCTAGCCATTTACATAATACACATTTTCAATTCAAAACATGGCCTTACTTTCGGGGAGGTAAATCTCATTAACCCCCAGCTAGAGTCCTTTTTGCATCGCCAAAGACATGGTCAGCAGGTCTCCTTTTATTACAAATTATGTTAATTCTCAATTAATGCACAAAAAGTTTTCAGAAATGTTTCCAAAATTTGCCTCATTAAAGTTCTCCCTGTTGAGTGTATTACTGAGATGTGACAGACAGTTTTTAAAAATGTGTAAATCAGAATAGAATTTGTTAGATCCTGTTCATTAATTCAGTTTAGAGTGTAAATGTAAAACTATGGGTTGATTTTGGTGTTTTCCCCTCCATTCATTTTGTATGATTAAAAATGCCATTACTCATTATAATGAAAGACAGTTTGAAATTAGCATTAGCATAAAATGTTAGATTAAAATTAGCTATCAGTGAAAATGCGGTAAATAATGTTAACAAAGCGTAAAAGCATTGCCCCTCATCTCTCTACACAAATTGCCTTTTGGATTTTCCCTATTTTTGAATGTGTTACATAACAGGTCTGATGTAAAGCATGGGTTTTTAAATTAGCGTTTGATTTTCCCTATGTTTTAATAATTATGTTCATTACAGAAATATGGAAATGCTGCGGTGGTATCAGAACTGCCCCTTAAGCTTTGCCTGCAGCGATCTCCATTTCAGAGCAACCGAAGAGAAGTCACCAAATAGAATTAGTCTTGTACTTTGAATAGGAACATGCTACGAGGAAAGCATTATCAATTGTATGATAATACTTTCTGTCGCACAATGAATAATGAATAATGTCTTTACACATGCATTACATGCTTTTGGACACTCTCGTAAATCAAGCAGATTTGGTCAGACATTTTGGTTCTGACCTATAAACATTCCCTTCATGACATGTAAATGTAAAAGTGATCTGTTCGTACATGAGCTCCGACTCTCACATTTGTAAGGAGTGTATCTCCTAAAACACATCTGAACATTGTGCCCGTGTGTCCGTGAAAGCTGTGTAGCCCATCTGGAGCTGCGGTGGGAGGTGCCTGTGCTGTTTTCTTTTGACTCTCCAAACAAAACAAGCTCCTCTGAAGGGAATGCAGGCCATGGCTGTCCAGATAAACACAGAGGTCTGGAGTATAGACACTCACATCCTGCTGCAGGAGCAGCGTGGGTCCAGACCCGGCAAGAGGGAGGAGGGAGGGGGCTTCACAGGGGGCAAACCAAATTGAACCAAGATAGAGGTCGGCAAAAGTTAGAAATTAGGGTCAGATTATTCACAAGAAACACACAACTCAGACACAGTCTTGTCTACAGCTGGTTCTCATTGAGAGCTGTCAAAGGAAAGACGCTTCCTCTCCCAGATGCAGAAGGATTTAGGAAAGAGTTTTATGTTTGAGCTGGCTTACATTTTGTGGTAAATTCTTCTTAATGGCTGGATTTGGAGCAGATCAATAGAGGATCAAAGTGATTTTAGTCTGGCAGGCAGATACAGAAATATTGAGTTCACCTGCGTGAGTCATGCTGCCTTTTAGATTTGTGGGACTTTATATCAAAATGGGTTTTTTAGTTCAGCTTAGTTTATTTTCTCCCACTTACATAACGCTTAATGGTGTGGTGCTGTCAATGTGATCTTGAACAAGATACTTTCAAAATGTACCATATACGTAAGCCCTCTTTCTGGTACTGGTACATTTGAGCTGCACTGACCCCTCAAAGCCCAAAGCATGTTTGAACCATGCTGCTTTACTCATAGGATCAAGGGACATTCTTCCTCCGTTCAGCCTCTCTGTTCATTTCTATTCCATTCTAATACTTTTGGGGGTCCCAGACTGACTGGGCGCCCACCCTCAGCCTCCCCCTGCCTCCATCAAGCCTCGTCCCACAGTCATTTATAAACATACTTTTGATTACGTTCTATTGTTGTGGTGTGGCCCTCGCCGGAGATTGTTGTCGTAAATTCGTCGCTACATGATTAGGAATCGCTCAGGTGATACTCGGGGATAGATCCAACAAATGTTCCATCCCCTCCTGCTTTTTTCTTTTATCATTTACACGTCAGTCCCAGCAGAACAGAGCTCATCTCAGGCAGGAAAAATAAAAGCAAAACGATTTCAGACATAGAATAGAGAAAAGGCTGTGATGCGGCTCCAGCTAAAGCAACAGCTGTCAGTGTGGCGCTGCCGGAGGAAGCCATGTAACAGTGGGGACCAGTTTATTTAATGGAGGAGAAAAACACCGTGAAACAGCATCGGAGGAGGAGCTGTGTAATAGGGTTTCTGCAGAGCTCTTACTGCGGTCAAGACGACTGCAGCTTGTGCTATGCCCAGTTAATCCTTCATCAGAATGGATCACACACTGCCACAATCTGTCCACCAGAAAACACTACAGACACCAATTAGCAAACATCAAATTACAGTATGTAGTGTGTTCCATTTTAAATCTAACAAAGGCTAATCATTTACATATTTACTCTTGTAGCCGGCGCTGAAATGGACGGATAAAGTCAATATCACTTAATGAAACAGCTGTCTCCGGGCCGCTCTGTTCATATATGTAGTTTGCTCAATGTCATTATTTATTTAGATTAGTTTTAGTTCTATCTCTCCAGTCATTTGAACATGGCTTGGTTTCCCATCAGATCAAGTGCTTGTTACCATGGCAACGCACTGTTAAGTTGCCAGCCGTTAGCATTTGTCAACCTTTTAATACCAACTAATACTAACCCCATAACCCTAACCCGCTAAATACTAATACTAATTATTTTATCTGTTTTTCAAGTTATATTAGTCAGACTGTACAATGAGAACGGCTGAGTCTGTATATGGCATTCATCAAGTCAATACTTTAAATTATTTATTTTTGGACATTTATTTACATAAAATGTCCATAAATAAATAATCATGTGCAATGTGCAAAACTGCAACTTCAGAATACCCACTGAATGTCACTTTGTCTTCTCATTATCCAGCCCTAAATATACAGTATATTACTTTACACTATGTTTATATAAGTAAGTAAGTAAGTAAGTAAGTAAGTAATCTTCATTTGTATACCGCCTTTCACAGACCAGAGTCACAAAGCGGTTTACATTTGTTATTTTTGGGCACTTGTCTCTCACTCCACACAGAAATGGGAGCGGGGTCGCCGAACAGGAGGCGCATGCCAGACCTATTGTACATGTTTTTGTGGTAGGGGAAACCGGAGTACCTGGAGGAAACCTACGCAGACACGGGGAGAACATGCAAACTCCACTCAGAAAGATATGGAGATATTTCATGAGATTGTTATTGGAGCATTTACAGCTAGCTAAGAAACATGGCAGCTACTTGTATTGTATATTTTGTGTGATCCGTGTGTGGGAAGAATGAAGGATCTCTCATCTTATCATATAGAGCAGCCATTCCCAAACTCAGTAACAGCGAGGCCCCCTTAAAAATCTGACGGGTCTGCGTGGCCCCCCAAAATAATAACCAAGAAGACAACATTAAGAATAGGCTCTTCTGGTTATTTTATTTTGGGGAAATAGTCTCTGCTACAAACATTGTAATACAAAAATGATTACAGTGGATTATTCAAGTCAAATAATGAACACAAATATTTTAATATTACAAACAAAACATTATAAATTTAACATTAAATAATGTTTTTAATTTTTTTTTATGACCTCCCGCGGCCCCCCTGCAGTACCCTCGCGGCCCACCAGGGGGCCGCGGACCCCACTTTGGGAGACACTGATATAGAGTGAACCACTTTTAGCAGCATCAAAAGCTTTTAATATAACTGGTGGGAAAGCTGTTTATCAGTCTAAACAGAGCACTTAATTTTTTTTTTCTATTTCAGAATGACAATAGTTTCTGTACTTTTCTATTAGATTTCCTATAGTTTTTAGTTTGTTTTATTTATATACGGTCTGGTGCACACTGAGGACTTTTGTACATATATTCAAATTTGTTTTTGCTGCAAATGGCAAATTGGAATTAAGTGGAATTAATCAAAATCTTAGGTTTTGGAGCTGTCAAAATGACGCCTCTGGGAGTTCTCGTATAGCGTCGGAATTGTGGTGGTGTTAAGAAGCTGCGTGTAATGATGCACTCAGAGTCCCTCTTTTGGAACAGTGCCAGCTCCTGAATAATGTCCTCACACTGAACACCGTGATCAGAAATCTCATGTCTCGCTAAAAGAAATCATTAATGTTTTAGCAGCTCATGTGCCGAGCGGTGTCAGACTCACCATGAACTCTGGAGGCACTGGAGGAAGTGTCTATACGGAATGTTGTAAATATTGTATGTTTGTGTGTTGTGTGTGTCTGACTTAAAGATTAGTTATTTCATTAAGTAATCCTCGAGCCTGACAGGTGCTATGAGCATTGGGTGGCAGAGCTCTCCTTGTCACCCCCCCCAACACAGAAATGGACTAATAACGGGGTAGAAAATGAATGAATGAATGAATCCTCAAACCTGTCAAAAGCACATATTATACATTTGTTATGGTCTTTGAAAGGTGCAGTATGCAACTATTTTAATGATTTTCTTTCACATATTTTACTTATTCTATTTAAATCTTGGTCTATTCTCTTGTGGCTCAGAGAACAGACCTTTAAAAGCAGCTCTGTGTGTGCACAAGTCTCTCCATGGCCTCGCATTAAAGTACATCTGTGACACGTTAGCACCAGATGAACCAACTCGGACTCTGAGGAGCACAGGGACTGGCCTCCTGCTGGTGCCCAGAGTCAGAACTAATTGTGAGACAGGCGTCTTCTCTGACAATGTTGAAATCCAGGTTAAAAACATAACTGTGCATACGACTGAGGGATTTGATCTTTATCCTATACATATAAACTTGCCTAGTCTTGCCCATTTGAATAGCTGTGGTCAGAGTGATCAGAATGGCGCCTGTATTTTTGATCCTGGTTGTGTCTACAGTGCTCCAGGATCAATAGATGTTCTAGTGCGGGGGGGGGGGGGGGGTAATCAGTTTACCCACTAGCCTCCATAGAGACTACTGTGATGGAGGCAAAGATAAAATATGCAAAAATGTAAACTTTCCCTTCACATAAAAAAGCTGCATATTGCCGCTTTAACACCACATTTTCTACTTTGTACTGGCTGAATATTTTTTGTAGAGCTTTTCTTATGTGGGTCGCAGTCACAAGTTTTATTCCTTTCTTTAGTTACTGTAAAACATTGTTTCGTTTTTTACTTTTTTCCCACTGACCTATGTTTTTTTCTTCTGGGGCCTATTATTATGTGGATAATGGGAAAATAATCCTTAGTATTATTCCACTCCTGCAGGGATGACATTCATTTACCCAGTGTCAAGGCAGGGGATATTAAGCCTATATCCCCCATTGTTTTCTCTCCCTATAATGTAATTATTTTATCAGAATTTGTTTTTTTTAACTTGCTCCTGGGCTTTTGTTTGTGCGTCTATCGTAGCATACTGCAGTGTAGAATAAACACAGCCCACTTCTGACTGTTTCCTTCTATATTCTGACTAAATCATATCTGTCTCCCGCAGGAAAGGCCTTTGTGATAACATATATAAGATTAAAATTCTACACCAGTCGGCCGGAGAGCTTTGCCATCTACAAGCGCACAGAGGAGGACGGGCCCTGGATACCGTACCAGTATTACAGCGCGTCCTGTGAGAAAACCTACGACAAAGCTGCCAGAGGTTATATTCGCCCAGGGGATGACGAGCGGACTGCTTTGTGTACGGATGAATTCAGCGATATTTCACCACTCACTGGAGGAAACGTGGCCTTTTCAACCTTAGAGGGACGCCCCAGTGCCTACAATTTTGATCAAAGTGTGGTGCTCCAGGTGAGTCTGATTTAAAAATGTACTTTATTATTAACATTGTCTGTATGTGACTAAACTGAACCATGTGTTGAGAGTTGCAACCATCGACTGTCTAATTCTTTCTTTCTTTCAATTTATTTAAAGTAGCAATATGTAAGATTTTCACGTCAAGTCATCTTTAAATGGCAATGATATGGTAAAAGGCATTAATAAAACATGCTCTTTTTGAATGGAT